GGAGCCATTGGCAGTGCGTCATCAGTGGCATGCTCGTCGGCGGGACCCCCACCACCATGGCCCGTGCTGGCCGCTCCAACCTGAGCCCAGTGCTTCCTGAGGATGTCGACCACGCTCTTCCCCGACTGCTTCAACGAACTGCCGTCGCCGGCTCCCATGCTCCCATCGCCGGCGACGCGAGAACCAGCCGCTCCCTTGGTCCGCCTCGCGCCCGCCGAATCGTCTCCGTCCCCCCCCCCCCGCCGCCAGACCCCCCGCCTCCCTTGCTCCGCTTCGTGTTCGCCGAATTGTCCCCGTCGCCCCCCCCCGCCGCCTCCCCGCCTCTTGTGACCCAGCTTCAAGCCCTCCGTAGGTTGCGCTTGGCCGGCGTCGTTTGCCGACGGCGACGACCCACGCCGAGCATACGCCACCGTGCCGACGACCTCGGCCATTATCTTCAGTCCGGAGGCGAGGAAGGACTGCTGCGTGGTCTCCGTCACCGCCTTCAGCACGTCCTCCTTGAAAGACTTCAGGAAATCTTCCGGCAAGGCCTGCGCTGGGCCGGTAGGCGGCGGCGGCTGGACTAGGCGGGGCGCGACGGCGGCGGCAATGTTGGTCTGCGCGGCGCCGATGTATTTGATGAACGACTCCTCCAACCCCTTCCTCGCCTCGCCCACCTCCGCCGTCACGTGCTCGGTCACTGTCTTCACCGCGGTCGCACGTGCGACCGCCGCTCGTCCCTTGGGGTCGTCAAGATCCAGCAGCGTCTGCCTCGCTAGCTCGGCGAAGGACTTGGCCGATTGAATGGCGCTGTCCATGTTGTCGGTGAGGCCCTCGGTGATTGTGGTCGCCATGGTCGACGTGGCCTCTTTGAGGCGCTCCTCCGATTTCCGGTCGGTGTCGGCGACCTGGGCGGTCAAACCCTTCAACTTCTCGAGGAGCCCAGCTAATGCCGCCGCCAAGCTGTCGACCCGCCCCGTCTGCTCACCGAGCCGCCGTTCAAGGAGTGCATTGTCTGCACGCAATCGCCTGTTCTCCGCCCTCAGCTGATCGACGACGTCCAGCCGCGCCTGCCGCCCAGCCGCGGTGGAACCGGGATGACCGCTCGCCGCCTTCTTCCTCCTAGACCGCTCCCCGCCGGCCTTCTCCGCGGTGGCATCGGTATGCACATCCACGCCCCTCTGCTCCGGGACCGCGGCGTTATCCCCTTCACCGACCTCGACCATGCCACCACCTCCGTGAGCCGCCTCCACGCCGACCTCGCCGATATTCGCTGTCGCACCCTTCCCCTCCCCTTCGTCGTTCTCGACATCCGCCGATCTCCCACCCGTTTCCTCCGCTCCTCCGACAACGTACCCCTCCGCTCCTCCGACAACGTACCCCTCCGCCATTTCCACGTCCTCCACCTCTACCAACTGCTCCTCCTGGTGCTGCCTCTCGTGCTCCTGCGTCTCCTGCTCCTGCTCCTCCTCCGACTCCGACTCCGAGCCCGATCCCGACCCCGACCTCGACCCCGACATCGACCCCGACGACTCCTCCGAGCCCCCCTCACCCTCACGTTCCTCCTCGCGATCCTGGACCCCATCATCATCCCCGTGAACAACCTCGGTCCCGGTCACCCTATTTCCTGCGGCCGCATCGGCCTCGTCGACGCCGACTCCCGACTTGCCACGCGCATCAGCGACGTTCGGGGCGACCCCTACTGGTACGGATGCAGAATGGACTTCCTCGCCGTCGTCGTCACAGGCGTCGGCAGCAACAACGGTTTTCCCCGACCGTATGAGCGGGACTTGCTTCTTGATGAGGGCTACCATCTCGTTCCGCAGCGCCTTCAACCCCGAGACGGTGGGCTTGTCCATGCTGGTGGCAATGCGACGGAGGTCGCCGGTCAGGCGCTGGAACCGCCTCACAACCCAGATCAACGCGCTCATTGCTAGCAGGCCGGAGCCCGCGTCCGAGTCCCGGACGGTATCGGGAATTTTCTGCATACAACAGTGCAGAGAGCAAGGATGAGGGCGGCGTAGATGTGACACCATATGACGGCGAATCGTCCGGAACTCACATCTCGAAGGGGTTCGTCGCAGTCGGCGAGCCTCTCCTGCACCTCGTCTTCGGACGGCTTCGCCCACTCCCATTTCCTACCCTCGCGCCGCAGCTCGGCCAGAACAGCGGTCCGGAAAAACCTGCAAAAGCACGGCAAGGACGGTCGGTTAGCACGGTGCACGCGTCGTGTCGACAATGTATGCGATGTCGACTAAACTATCGAGCTCACTTCAGCACGCGGATCGCCTCGTCGCGGTGCCACTCCTTCACTGTCTGCGGGTCGGCGTGCCGGATCGAGGTCCTGACCTCCTGCCCCGAGGCATTGAACAAATCGCCGGGGCACAGGATGAGAACGACGCTGCAATGTGCTCCCGGAAGCGGTGCGATGCTGCACAGACAAGGCACGTCGATGGCGCTCAGAACAAATCACCGACACAGGTTGCAGCACACAGCAGGACCTCGAACCTGCTCACCTCGATATCAGTGGGATAACCGCCACGTCGGCGTCGAAAATCGTCGCAAAGCATGTGTGGTCGTCCTGACCCATCGCCGCCCGAAGCCGGCCGACTCCTATCGACCACAATCGCTCGCCTGCATCCGTTGAGCGGATCCATGCGTGCCTGCACGCATGCATGATTACAACAGATTAGAGAGGTATAGGTGCGCGGCACGATGGTGGAATGACGGGAGCCGAACGACTTCGGCACAACTCAGCGTCGTCGACGACCTAACGCATTACGTCGGCATCACCGATGTGATGTGCCTGAACTCTAAGCCCGTCGACATATACTACTGGACGCATTGAAACCCCGCCATGGCCGACCAGCATGGAATAGGCCCGTCGACGACGACATCTCAATAAGACACTCACTTGAGACCGAGTCCCAAGCAACGGGCGTTAAACTCTATCATAGGGTTTGTCAGAACGGCGTAGTCGTGCTCTTCGAACTTGGCCGTGTGTCCTCTACCGATGTCTAGATGCAGGGGGAAATCTAGCGAGGTCGGCGCCGCTTCGGCGGCTTTCTGGCCGGCTGCCATGGCGGGAGAGCGAGGATGCTATGCTACAGGCTAAGGGAAGAAGCGGTGGGAGTATGGAAGGCGCCGAGGTGGGAGGAAAAATGAAAGAGAAACGAGAACGCGAAAATGAGGGGCCAGTCCACCTCCAAAGAAGAAAAGCCAGGCGGAGCCACGCAGGCCCGGTTGAGCGTCGCCCAGGGGGCCGTGATGCCTCGCTCGGCAGGGCTCGTGCACAAGTTGCGTGGCACAAGTGCACCCTCGCCGCCGAGCCAACAGGTCGACGTCACGTGCCCCGGCCTCGGTCGGCCAGGGGACGCAACTTCGCGTGGGCGCGGTGCGACGTTTCGGCACCACGTGTCGATTTCGCAGAGGGTCGCGAAAGCCGTGCGCCCCGTGGCGAACGACCCAGGTTTTCGCTCGAGTTTCGGGGGGTACGAAATGTCTCATGCACGCGATGCGAAATGACGGGCGAGCACGTGGCGTCACCGCAACGGGTCGCGAAATAGTCGAGCGACCCGAGGGGAGCCCCCGATTTTCGCGTGGACCTCGCCTGCCCGTACGGGCAGGCCGCGATGGGTTACTAGGGCCTCGCGGGCACGAGGGAGGGGTGGGCTGCCTTCGCGGCAGGGTTACTTCCCCTCGCCCGAGGTCTCGCCAGCTCGCCGCCCCCACCCGGTAACGTGGGTCGCTGTTCACTCTCGGGGGGGGGGGGTTGCGGGGCGGCGGTCGTGCGCCCGGCCCAGCCCAGGGCCAGGCTGGCGGGCCCGCACGCGCGTCACTCGCCCGCCTCGTCAGACCCCTGTCCGTCGACCCCCCTCGTCGACCCTGGCAACTCGGGTCCGTCGACCTGATTCCGCTGGGATCTTCAGCCAGGAAGACTGGGCATTCCTGGGGATGGCCAAACGCCTAACGTCTGGACATCTGAGCGTTGGGGCCACGTGCCTTCAACGAGGCAGCCCACCGACCTCCGTGCGACGTTTTCGCACGACTGATGTTCAGTAGTGTAGTTGACTCAACGTGCAACTGTAATGGCGCTGTTATTGACACCAGAATGAGGGCCAAAACCATTTGGGGCATAGGAAAAAAGCCAAACCACAGGGATGGCTGCATTGAAGTAGCGGGTGTTTGTGTTGGTAGGGAATTTGGCACTGCAAACCCCATTCGTGCGAGGATTGTCAATTCCGCAAAGAATATTTTCGAGGGTGCGTCCCCTGGCTTGTTCAACGACGAACATGTCGCAGACGTTTGTTCGCGCAGGAAATTCATTGGTGCGCGGGTGCAGATGTACACCTGTTGCCAACGTCACAAGGCTACTCTTACACGTCATTGGAGCAGCTAGTGTCCAGGCCATCGCCAGGAACGCCCTCTGAAAGTTTGACACGAGCCAGGATTGAGCGCATCCTCTATGCAGGCGCTGTCAAAAGTGAAGGAGGGCGTAGGTAAGGGTGCGTTCCTGGCTCGTGTCAACATCCAGGGTCATGTTTGTTTCTCAATCAGTTGTGCGAAAAGAGATCATGTTCCTGCCCAAAAGTATTTTTTTAACCCACACTTACGATAACCGACGAGCGCACTTAAGAGTACTGACTTTCAAGTCCAGTTTTGCTTAAACTGTTACTGTACTAGAATCTGGTGGCAAAACACGACAGACTCCCAACGGTCACTGCCAGCTTTGCAGGCTTTCTCGTTAAGCCACCCAACCAACCACGGTGCGAGAAACGCCTTAGGTCATTCGCAATCTGCTTTTGCGAAAGCATAACAGCCTCGAACTTCGAAAGGTCCAAAGTGTAACCACAAGTCCTATGCTGAACTCTTTCATACATCCCATTTCTCGAGGAACCTCATACTCCATTGCTCGCCTTGGTAGGCACTTCCAAGGTTGACCCACCACCGATTTCTTTCTACTAGTGTGCGTGACCGAGTAGCTCAGATCCTGTCAACGCAGCATCGCGGGAACACTCGCGATGGCGTCAGAGGCGGCGCCAGGTCAGCTCGGCGCGCGATGGACTCCTCCGGGAGGTGGCGCTGACGGGAAGGCGGGAGGGAGTAGCGGCGGTAGTACTGGTGGTGGTCTGCGTGTGAATAACAGCCTGTGCAACGAGAAAGTGCCGTTCGTTCCGCAAAACGGACGACGAGGTAGGTCCGACCGCCATTGCGAAACCAGACGATCTAGCATTTACGAAAGGCATGTTGGGAGTTAGTGGGTCCGTCGAAAACGCGAATCGAGATCGTTGACTGGATTGAATAGGTCGTCGCATCGGACATTTGCAATCGTCGTGGCGTTTATTGGTAATCCGTGCAAGTAAACCCTCCAATTCTCCGGATTGGTCTTTTGAATATTTCCGCCCCCATCCTCTCGTTACAGTCACGTGGTACATCTGCGGTCCTACAGTGTACGACTCGTCGCACATCGGCCACGCGCGAACGTATCTCTCCTTCGATATTATCCGCCGCATTCTTGAGGTGACTTTAGTTCCTTACAGTCACACGCTTTTCTTGTCTGCGAGGTGATCGTTCCGTTAATTTCAGCCTCTTTGTGCTTCTCTGCTATCTTCGTGTGTCTTGTACCGAACAGGACTATTTCGGGTATGACGTGTTCTATGTGATGAACGTGACTGACGTGGACGATAAGATCATCGTAAGGGCCAGGAGGGATTACCTCATCAAGCAGTACCTCCACGCCACGTCAGATGCCGCCCAGGTGAGCTACCTTGCCACGCCGGATGTCGTTCAGATAGGCTATTTTGACAGTCATGTCCATTTTTCTCAACTCGACCTCTTTTTGTATCAATCTTTACCTTTCTTTCCCAATCGACTCGAGAATCCTTTCCTCCATCGTCCTCCCTCCACCCTTACCTCTCCCCTTCCCAAGTCCAGGTCTTGGCAGACACGCAAGCAGCCCTCTCAACAGCAGTGGAGAAGCAACGGGGTGTGGTAGAGGGGTTGAAGTCGACAGCTGAGGGGGAGAGCAACGAGAAGAAGAAAGAGACGCTGCTGCAGCAGGCCGCACAGGAGGAGCTGAAACTGCAGCAGCTGGAAGGGGCGGCGAAGGCCGTCTTGGAGCGGCTGGGCCCAGCGTGCGTGGCGGCTGGCGGGCGGCGAGGTGTGTCTCTTGTGCTGGGACGGCGGGGCGAGGAGGTGGAGGCGAAGGAGGGGGGGGCTGTGGGTGACGAGGCACGAGTTAATGGCACAGCAGCCGATGGGGCTGGGGCAGCAGCAGATCGGGACGCAGCAGCAGCAGATGGGGACGCAGCAGCAGCAGATGGGGACGCAGCAGCAGCAGCAGGTGAAGCAGCAGAAGGTGACAAAATAGCAGCAGAGGCGGCAGCAGATGCACTGGCAGCGTCGTTGGATGCGAAGCTGAAGGCGACTGTCACTGATGTCTCCATCTTCAGACGCCTGGCTGCCAAGTGAGTGAGTGAGTGAGTGAGCGAGTGAGTGAGTGAGTGAGTGAGTGAGCGAGTGAGTGAGTGAGTGAATGAGTGAGTGAAGAAGTATCCTGTTGCTTTCCGTCCCATTGCTGTCACTTCATTTGTAAATCGTCCCATTCTGATTTTTTTCACGTCTGTACCCAAAACCCTTGTTAACAGGTACGAAGTGGAGTTCTTTGAAGATATGAAGGCGCTTGGAGTGCGGCCACCTCACGTGCTGACACGTGTCACAGAGTACGTGCTGAGATGGCACGAGTACGTGCTGAGATGGCACGAGTATGTGCTGAGCCTGAGATGACACGAGTACGTGCTGAGCCTGAGATGACACGAGTATGTGCGGAGATGACACGAATATGTGCTGGATTACATATTATTTGAACAAATTAAGATCACTGGCGTGACAGTTTCTTTCAGAATAAGTTCATGCCAATCACAACAAGACAGGCAATCTGTTTGGTTAAGTCGCCTCTTGCTGCCGCCCTCACAGCGCACTCATCCTGCAACGGCCCTCAAACCCCTCTTCTTGTCCTCCCCCTGGCCGAATACTAAGCCGGCTCAAAGTCACTTTCCCGTTGCTGCCCGTCTGCCCTGTCTGTTCATCCCCCGCGTCCTCTTTCCCCCCTTTCCCTCCCCTCTCTTCATACTTCCCCCTTCCATCCAGGTACATCGACGCTATTGTGAACTATGTGGACACGATCATTAAGAATGGCTGTGCGTATGCCACCAATGGCAGCGTCTACTTTGACACCAAGGCCTTCAAGTGAGTTCGCTCGGTGGCGAAGAGGTGACATGTGTGTGTATGTGTGAATTGTAGCCTCGTTTTGCGAGTTGGTTCCAGATTCTGTGTGTATGCCATCAACGGGAGTGTCCACTTTGACGCCAAGGCCTTCAAGTGAGTTCACCAGGTCATGGCGGCGTGACGTGTGCGTATGTGTGCATTATTGCCTGTTTTGTTACTTGACTTCAAAATCCTTGCATCATGCCATCAACGAGACGAGAGTGTCTACGTCGACACCAAGGCGTTTACGTAAGTTCACTAGATGGAGGCGACATGTGTGCGTATGTGTGATTGATAACCTGTTTTGTAAGTTGACTCCACAGTCTTTGCATATGCTTGCCATCAACAGGAGAGTCTCCTTCCCCTCTCCTCTCCCCCCCATTCTCCCCTCTCCCCCCCACCCTCCTTCCCCTCCCTTCACCTCCAACCCACTACAGGGAGTCAGGCCACATGTACGGGAAGCTCTGCCCGTGGTCCGTGGGCAGTGCTGAGCTGGCAGCAGAGAGCGAATCAGACTTTGCCACGTCAGAGAAGCGCAACCGCAGCGACTTCGCCCTGTGGAAGGCCAGCAAGGCCGGCGAGCCATCGTGGCCGTCGCCTTGGGGCGATGGACGGCCAGGATGGCACATTGAGTGCTCAGCCATGGCCTCAGATATCGTTGGGTTCCCCATGGACATTCACTCTGGGGGCATGTGAGTGGTGGGAGCGGGGGAGTGGGAAGTGGGGGACGGGGGAAGGGCAAATGTTGGAGGGTGAAGGGGTTTAGGGTTTGGGATGACAGAAGGCGTTCAGGATGGGACGGACGGCCAGGATGGCACATTGAGTGCTCTGCCATGGCTTCAGATATCGTTGGATTCCCAATGGACATTCACTCAGGTGGCATGTGAGTGGGAAGGGGGAGTCTGGGAGGGAGGGGAGTGAGGGGATGGGGGGGGAGTGGGGGGGTTGCTGATGCTAGTGGGTCGGTCTGGGGGCAATGGGTGGACGGACGGCCAGGATGGCACATTGAGTGCTCTGCCATGGTGTCAGATATTGTTGGTTGTCCTGTCCTGTGTACATTGCACACACGAGTGTCTTTTCAGTCGTCACCTTCCTTCCCTTCCACCCAACCCTTCCGATCTTCACTGTGTCACGCGCCTCGCCCCCCACCTCCCCCCCCACCTCGCCCCCCACCTCGCCCCCCACCTCCCCCCCCACCTCGCCCCCCACCTCGCCCCCCACCTCCCCCCCCACCTCGCCCCCCACCTCGCCCCCCACCTCCCCCCCCACCTCGCCCCCCACCTCGCCCCCCACCTCCCCCCCCACCTCGCCCCCCACCTCGCCCCCCACCTCCCCCCCCACCTCGCCCCCCACCTCGCCCCCCACCTCCCCCCCCACCTCGCCCCCCACCTCCCCCCCCACCTCGCCCCCCACCTCCCCCCCCACCTCGCCCCCCACCTCCCCCCCCACCTCGCCCCCCACCTCCCCCTTACCCGATACCCCAATACCCCCCTTACTAGCGACCTGCGGTTCCCCCACCACGACAACGAGTTGGCACAGGCGGAGGCGTTCCACAGGTGTGGGCAGTGGGTGAACTACTTCCTGCACGCGGGCCACCTGCACATCGAGGGCCTCAAGATGTCCAAGTCGCTAAAGAACTTCATCACCATCCGCCAGGTACCGTACTGTGCCCTGCCTGCTCTGCCCTGCCTGCTGTGCCGTGCTGTCCCCTGCTGCTAGCGCCTATTTTTCTCACGCTCCTACAAGCCTACTTACTCCCTCACCCTCTCACCAATCATTCTTATCCTCCTCTCCACCCACCCACCCAGCGTCCCCGCCCACCCACCACTATAGAGAATCACAGTGTACTCTGATTCAGATTGCTTCTTTGGCTGCTTGCTCCCCCTCCCCGTCATCGCCTCTTATCATCCTGCCCCCTCCCCGTCATTGCTCATTCTTATCCTCTCTTCCCCGACCCACTCCCCCACCCACCCACCCTCCCGTCAGGCTCTAGAGAAGTACAGCGCGCGCCAGTTCAGATTGCTCTTCTTGCTGCAGGCCTGGGACAAGGTAACGTGTCTGGGTTATTGTGGGGGCCAATGCGGATAAGATTGGGATTGCCCTGCGCGTTTCACCGGCCGCCCTGTCTCAGGTTGTTCCGAGCCAGAATGATACACCACAGCTCTCCTCGCCCGGCCCCTCTCCCCCGCCCTTCCCATTCCTTGGCTCAAATCGAAACTGATTCTCTGCCCCATATCCCTGTGCGAAAGATGAATCTGTTTCTATGATTCGCCTCCCTTCATATGCTTTAGCCCTCCTCTGATCCTCTCCACCCCTAACCTTGCCTCCGCCCATCAGCCAATCAACTATGGGGAGGGTGCGATGGCAGATGCGGTGGGGAGGGAGAAGCAGCTCAGAAACTTCTTCCAGACCGTTCAGGCTGAGATTCGGGCAGCGGTGAGTCGTGCTGACGTGGAGTGAGGTGTCATATGTTGAGGTGCGGTGTCACAGAATGTATTGTTGTTTGCAATAGATTCAGTTACTTGCTATTGTAGGTGTAGTTGGATTATTCGAAGTACTGTAGAAGGTGAGTTTGGGGCGTGGGGATTGACGCAAAGTGGTGATTCAGGGACTTGCGAGGCGCAGGGTGGGACAAATTCAAGGGCGAGCCCTGGGCAATCTGAAAGGCCAATCCTAAAGCCTAGCGGGCGGAGCCCAATGTGAGTTACGGGAAACTGCGCGGCACGGGGTAGAGATTCAAATAGACTAGGAACTC